TTAAATGAAATTTTTCTAGACTCTTGTTAGACATCGTTCTTCTCATAACTTATATCTCTATATTTTCTTTAACCTCTAAATAAATGTACCGTTGAACTAAAGTCAAGTTGAAATTAACTAAAAATTTAGATATATTAGTCTTTTCAAGAATAAGATTCTAATTCTATGATTTCAAGCGATAGAATATTCGTTCTGATCACACATTCTGGTCTCAGTGAAAGCGGTAATTTATACACAAAATTCATATGTAAAGTAACGTTGAAAGCTTGAAAATCAGGAATAGAAACGATCATGTATAATGTATGTGGCAATATATATCTGCGATAGACCCGTGATCATGTTTGCTTAACAAAGTCATAAATCATAGCAATATATTAATTATTACGAGACTATCAAGTCTGTAATATACATGTCAGATTTATTGATTTCTAATGTTATATGTTATTTTTCTCTTGAATTGTTTAACTGTAATTCATAAATGAGATCTTTGGAAGAAAGAAGAGTTCTTACCTTCCACTAAAGAAGTTAAGAGCGTGACGTTAGCGGCCTTCCTTCTACCGGCTGGTAGATTCAAACCAATTTTTTCCAGTTTTTCCCTAAGCAGACGCCCGCCATTTTTGGATTTCGCCCTGCAAAATGCAAAATATATTTTTATATGAAGCTCTTCATATAACTTTTTTAATATCATTTAAATAACGCAACATGTGTCGTTTCATCAATACAAAAATTTGTTATATTATAATTTAACGTCATTTAATGCAATTTTTGTTCAATTCATGGCATTATTTATGTCATCATGTAAATATTTTGATTCTCATATTTTATATTTTATATATATATATTCTTTTCAAATATTTTTACAACAATTTTTTGTATCTTTCTTAAAGAAGAATGATTACATATATTAAATCTACATTTTATGTAATCATCAACATTTAATATAAATCGCAAAACTTGGTCAGAGGTTAAAATTCTTATATAGTGATATTACAGCCTTACTAAATTACTAGATTACAGCGCGATTATTTGATTTGATTTATTTGATTTATTCTCATGGAAAATTTACGAACGCCACAGAACAAGAGATTCATTGGTTCACCATAATATTTATTGATCAATTATTTTTCTACCGTTCGCTAAATACTTGTTCGGACATATGCGAACGCCTACGTCTCGACTCATTCCGCTGCGTGAGAATTTCGAAACGGAACTCTTCCATTAATCATTTCGCCGTGATCTCTAAAAAGATGAAATCGAGGTGCGAGAGGGACAGCGGCAACGAGAGGGAAATACGGTTAGATTAGCATAATCCGCGGGCTACGTATGTCATCGGTGATTGAGCAAGCTCGAAGATGCGCTCGTACTGTTCATGCAGGTGCGTTTTGTGGAATAGGATCGAAAGAAAGGAGCACTGTGTTCTTCACATAGAGCGAGAGTTATTCAAGCTACAGTCATCAGTGAGCACATCAGGCGCGAATAGAATTTTTATCGACACTTCTATTCTGCCCTCCTCCAACACGTGTATCTAGGTTAATTATTAAACGACGCCCCTTGTACGATTGTAAAGATGAAGCGTTTATGTTTCACGATTGATTAAAGTTAAGACTTCTTCGCTGTAATCATGATTTCGGTCAATTAGATGCGCTGTTTATTTGTTGCCTCTGAAAGAGCGTTTAATGATAACGTGACATTAAGACTAAAATCGCAATTTAAATACTAATTGTAAATGAGAAGTATTGGTAAATATCTGTGTTAAATATCTTTAGAAATAGCTTCATTAGCTAAATAAATGGTTCTTTATTACAGATATAAGGACAATGTATATGTCCTTTCAATGTTGAATAACGCAAGCAGTTTAACTAATATCACATCAGATAAATGCACATTTTTACATAAACTTTATAAAAAATAAACAACTGTTAATTATATGCTTCTATATAAAACATTTAATCATCCTCTTTGATTTTACGCTAAATTATGTATTGGATACGTCTTGCGTGTTCTTTCAGACCAAGTCTATCGAGACATCATCAAAAAATTGCGTTTTAATCTTTTTACAACAGGACAGTGACTTTGTGTCGTTAATCCATCGACGAAGTAAGAAGCTGCGAAGTAAATTTTTTTCGTGGAACACCAACGGGAACGCGATAGTAGCAGAGACTTCTTTCTTAACACACCCTGTCCATCCATCATCTTGGCCTGTTATAACGGTAACGCGTATCGCCTACCTTTGTTCAGTTCGGCTGCCCGGGTTGCCCGGGCAATCTTTCGCCTTGCTTGGTAATTAATACGTTTTACCGCTATGGGTTTTTAATATCGGCTCCTCCAAATTTACGTTTTGCGAACGTTCTATTCATTTTATTATTTCTGAATCGCACTGTCCGTGTTACTTGATATTATACTCATTTTCAGAATAGAACTAAAGAGAAATCGATTAATTATTTCTTAATTATCTCGGCAATCAAGAACACGTTTTCATTTATATTAAATATTGAGAACTTTTATCTTAAAGATATGTGTACACAGATATTTTAGCATTCTTATCTTAAATATGTTGTAAAAATATACACATAAATCAGCACACTTATATTTTTTTATTTATTAAAGATAAAGCTTTATAATATATTTGCTGTGTTCAGTAGAGAAAACTAATTAGTTAGCATTTATAATTAGTGATTCTTTAATGTGATTGGTTTCTACATTTAGATCCAGCGAAGAATTAAAAGTGAGAATCAATCATATTAAAGAATCATTAAGCGCTAACTGATTAGTTTTCTCTGCTGAACGCAGAAAGAGTAGAATTTTTTTCCAATAATTTTCAAGAATTTAATTAACTTAGATTGTACTACTAATGAATGATCGTTCGTGTTTTGTATAATCCTTCCTCTTAATTTATACTGTCATGTCAAAATGTCACAGAAAACTCAAGATCTGATATTAAATTGACAGAATTGCTAAAACATACGCTCTCATTTACATTTTCGTTCACATAGATCTGCATGATAAGCCTGCTCAAACTATTACCGATATAAATTCTACAACTGGTTTCAAGCAATATGATAATCATCATTCATTGATTGTGTTTGATTCAAAACGCAGGCCGAGTTAACATATCCCGCTGTATGTCAGAAGAATTTTGACAATTTTATAATTGATCGCGGAAACGATCGTCCGACCAGATCAAATTCTCGATACTTAACGGCCGTCGTTTCTTGGTACGTGACAAAAACGATGCTGCGATTCATTACCGGAGACTTGTCCCAAGAAGAATCTTCGTTCCTTTCACAATCAGACGTATTGCTCTCTCCTGTGTAAGGGGTTCCGCGGAATTTGCAACCCTCGGTGTCGATTCCTGATAGGAAGATCCTGAATAGTGGATCCCTTACTTCCCAAGATTGCTTGAGATATCCTCGAACGCTTGGCACCGTTAATCGTCTACAGACGCCATGCGAGATTAGAAAATCGAAGGACTTTATGATCAAGGCTCATTCAAAATGCTCCTCCGCATCGTTCGCGAAAATGAGACGGAATTATGATTAGCAACTATAAAATATAGCGTATGTATTTCGAGTGAAATGTTTAAAATTAAAATATTTAAGGAAAATATTTTCAATACGTCTTCAAATATCTTCAATACTTCTCATTATGATAATCTCATTAAAAAATTTCTTTTTACGATATATTTATTTTAATAATGTTAATTATTATTGCACATTATTAATTTTCTAGAAATCTAATATAAATTAATAGTATTAATAGTTTATATGTTTTCTAAGGTTTTAAAATAATAAATAATAAAAATTTATATTAATAATAATTAATATTAATATTCGTAATTTACAGATAGATTTAATGATAGTATAGATAAATTATTATTAATGTTAATGCTAAAATATTAATGATATAAATCATATTTCTAGATTTTTCTCTTTATCTTTCATAAAAATCAAATAATTACAATTAAAAAAATTACTTATAATAATACTATAATATTTTATAATTTATAAATTCCTAGAGTTAATAATTATAATCACACTAAGAGAGGTAGCATAATGAATAGAATCTTCCTAATAGGTTCAAAAAACTGTTTTGAATTTAGTTTTTATCGACATCATCTACTCGATCAAAGAAGTAATGTCGGAATATAACTCGCGCAAATAAATTAGATCGATAATTTGATTGATCGCTTTATTTCTACGGCTAACAGATTTAATGAGAATCATTGCGTTGAGAGAATAATATGCGATAGATTCTTTACGCTAATATTTTTTTGCAGTAAATATGAAACTTAACAACAGTATTATTATGATTATGGCTTATATAGTTTATAATAATAGATTTTATAATAATCAATATGCACATAATCTCTTCTTCAATCTGAATATATAACAATACAGAAAAATAGAAGAATAAATAGATCAATAAAATTTCTATCCTACGGCGGAAGTCAGCCTTGTTCTCCAGCCTGATGACCTTGCGCGTGATTTTCAAACTCCAAGCAGATGATCGTAGAAGCCTGTCAGTATCCGACAGCAATTTATGGAGCAGGTGAGGATTTTGTTAATCCCAAATAAATTTTAGATGGGATAGAATCCAATAGGCTATTTTCGTATCGAAGTTTGAAGATTGCAACATCTCAGAACATCGACACGAAAATATACACAGAGGATATGCAATTTTTTTATACAATGATTCGCAAAAAATATTTGAGCGATAAAATAAACTAAAACGCTGTTATTTCAACTTTCGAGATTCATATATTTTGATATCATCGATTCAAATATAATATTATTTTAATAAGTTTTTTCTTGCCATTTGTCTTGTAATTTGTATCCACCTTTATTTTGTGCTTATCCTGCCTCTTAAAGAAACCATTGATTATTGTCGACTCCCATAAATGTCGTTAATCCCATAAATTTTATGATCTCAAGTTTAGACAATAGAATTCTATATTAATAAAAATAAAAATCATGTTAGATTTAATAATCATAGTAAAGAATTACTAAATGTTTATTCATTGTTAAATAATGTCAAATTATAACCTATTTGAATTACTTTTAATCATTTCTATACGTCGTCATTGCTCGTATTCAATATATCATTAATTTGATTAAAACAATAGAGTTAAATTAATCCAATAACAATTTAACCCAATAAAGATATTAAATTAGACTTAAATTTATTATTTACTAAATGCATCTTACTCTGAAACTAACTACAGAATTGAATTGACTTACATTTTGTCAGACATAGAAGTTAAAAATAACAAAATGTTACTTAATTCTAAGGATTGATTTACTATTGCTCTTTTGATATCTAATAATTGGACGATAGATCAATTAGGTTCAAGATCAAAATAGTCACTAGAAAAACGTGATAGAAAAGCAGCCAGCAGGAAGAGAAGTTTTCGGCATTAAAAAAAAATGCATAATTTTATTAATACAGAGCTCAGCTTCAGTAAAAATAGACAATATTCCCAGTAATTAGTATCAGGACGCTGGTTCATACATGGAGAATCACAAATCCCGCGCGTATGTTCAAAGAGGCAAAAATAAATAGAGCTCATTGAGAATACACGCGTTGTGAAATAGAGCTCAAGGCGATCGAAAATCAGTCAAAGTGAAAACAAAAACGGAAGGCGCGGATCTTCGACAAAGCGTTGGCACACGTGCATGTGTCACGATACAACGTAATCGATCTTCGTGAAATGATCTCTCGCAGTGTATTATGATGATCCTGAACCCTCATGGACGCGAGTCGTCGACGAATGAAATCAAGAACAAGATGGAAGAGACAAAAGAGACTGTACGGTGCAAAGAGAAAGAAAGAGAAAGAGAGAGAATCTATGGCAAGTCTCGACCCAACATGCGTGTAATTATCGGTCAGATCGCTATGCGAACAGATGAATTATAACGGCCGGTGCGAGATGCTGCATTCGCCTCGAGGCGCACTCGCTCGCTCGCACGCTGAGGAATTGACATTCGCAACCGCGCGAGTTATTAATGTCTCATTTGCATCGGCAATATAGATCAGTCCGCTTTGCGACAAGAAAGATTTGCTACGCTCCGTTACTCCGATCGCGATCACGCGATATGTGAAAACGCACGAGCTTCGAGTGAATATTTCTTTGCGAAAAGTGCGTTTTCCTTCAGATTACTGATGAAATTTTGTGTCAGTAATAATTCCACATTATACATCTCAATATGCATCTGAAAAAAATGCGCACTTTTCGCGATAATTATTCGTAATCTTCTTTTTTTTTTTTTTTTTTTTTTTTTTTTTTTTTTTTTTTTTT